TGTGAAGGATCACCAGTATGGGACATACAGACACAGACTGAAGATGAAGCACATGCTGTTGGATAAGTGATAGCAGTAGACTTGTTGGACCCAGGGTAGGCGCAAACCTTCAGTTTGTCAAACACAGCCTTGGTGAAGTGTAATCCAACAAGGCCGGCCAGCTCCTTCATGCAGGCCTTTAGGACGAGGAGTGGTCGTTTTGTATGTTAGCTTGAAATGTACTGAATACTTTTGAAGCAGAAAGAGAAAACCCATCATCAAATGTGAGGGAACATAAAAACTCACATTTTTAAGTCAGATAAAATTTTTAGATTATACACTATGTAGAGTACGAAGTTTTGTGAATAACCATGAGCTAATTAATTGCTTAATTAGTTTTTCAGTAGCCTTTCTGAATTAATGGAAAATTGTGCTGTCAATATTTCAGTGGCTCATTGTGCTGTCACAGACAGATCACTATTTCAGATGCTTGTTAGGTGGTATTAGGCTATTGAAAATCAAAAGTACCTGGTATTTCTCAAGTTAATGATGTTATTATGGTTACACAGTTAATTTTCTGGAGTTTTCTGCCAGTCACTTGATTCACGAGGAGGGTGATAAGCTGCTGAGCTGAGGCAGAGGACTTCTGGTGCACTGTGTTGACTGTAGTTCATGGGACCTGTGATGCCAGCTGAGAATCTCATGACAGGTAGATGGCGTCATTTTGAAGACTATGCCAGATACTCTACTTTCTGGCGAAAGAACCATTTCATGGGGCAGACGTAGCGACTCTGTAATGTGCTGGCCCAGCGAGGCCCCACACCTGGCTTTGATTTGTTTCTAAACGTAAAGTGCAGTGCCACTTCCAAGAAACACTGCTGGACTCGCTTACTGGTCCCAGCTTTAATGATCTTGCAGGGAAACATAGAAGGTAACTATCCAGTCGAAATAGGGGTAGTTTATGCAAAATGTGATGATAATTAATGGGTCTGGGTAACCCTAACCTTTTATAGGTGGTCGTTTTAATGCCCGCAAGATTGTGTTCCTTGTTCTCACGTCGGCATTGATTTTTAACCAGGTTGAAGACTTTCTGAATCTTTCCAACAAGGTGTCTGGATTTCATATCTGTGTTGACAAAGGGACTTTTGATGCCATCAGCCTCAGTCCTGACAACTCCCTTGGAAAGAGGAAGCAGTATGTGAAATCGCTCTCCAGGGTGTTGAAAAGAAAAGGCTTTTTTCTAATAACCTCGTGTAACTGGACTAAGGAAGAGTTGCTGAATGAGTTCAGTGAAGGTAAACGGTGATGTGTTTACTTTGGGTCTGACGCAGGGAAACTGCACGCGGGTTTCTGTGACAGGCTCTCACTTCTCTCTCTGTGGGCCTCGCCTGCCTGCCTTCTGTTAATGACTTTGGGAGTGGACTTTGTCACAGTGGACACAAAGCACAGAGGAATACTATTGGTGGAAAACCAGAGCCCTTTCAGTATTTTCCCAAGTACTCTTTGTAATAAGGTGCTAACATTTATGAGCCTGCCAAAATTAAGCTCTCTATTTAAGCTATAAAATCCAAACCTGTTGCCCTTGGGTCAATTCAATCCCTAGCAACTCCCTAGGACAGAGTAGAACTGCCCCAAGATTCCTTCTGAAGGCTGCCATTGGTAGGACCCCATGGCCTGCCTGCCTACCGCCCAGCTATGGGCTCCAAGCAGAACGCTTAGCTACCGTTTCACCAGAACTCCAGATTTCAGCCCTGCACTCTGTTACGTAGAGAATCAAAGATGAAAACACACATATGAAGGGGGGCTTCAAGAAGTTCTTAGAAATGCATTCTCTGGGGGTGGGGGGTGGGGATGGGGATGTCTAGTGTTTGGGAGTGGGGCTGGCCCCACAGACCTCTATTGGTTC